ACTGCGTCTGGGCGCCCGAGCCTGGCCTCGGCCACCGCTGCCTGCGCTGCGGGGGAGGGGACAGGCGGGGGGTGGAGTCTCCAGATGCTCCCGAGGGAGCCAAGCTACCAAGAGACCCCTATAAAGAGACACACCCCAGGGGAGAGACATCCTCATGGGTAGACCCCCAACCCAAGAAACGCTCCAAGGAGACATGGTCACTGAGATACATTCCCTATGCGGACATCCGCCCAGAGACCCCCAGGGGGAGACACATTCCCACAGGGAGACAGTGTCTATAGGGCCTTTCCAATCAAGAACTCTCCCCCCACCCTGAAAATCATTCCTAGGAGAGATGGTCTCTGAGAGATGACGTTTCCTCTGAACCTCAATGCCCCCCCCAAGGGAGAGGCATTCCCACAGAGAAAGATCCCATGGGTGACATTTCACGGAGGGACCCTAGGGAGGATACCCCGAATGAGAGACCCCTAAAAACCTTATTCTCTGTGATAAATTGTCTCCACCCACGAGACACCCAGATCCCAAGAGATACATGCTTACAGAGTGACACTTTCACTGAGGAGACCCGTCCTCACGGGCGATGCCCCCTCAGAATAACATTTACAGGCATATACGCCCTCCGTCACCCCTCTCCCAAGCACAGCCTCCTCAGGGAACCCTGCAGCCTCTCTAGCGACCCCTCCCTCGCCGTCAGGATTAAGGAGCCAGGCTAGGCCTGCTGTATTTATAGGAGCGATTAGCTAGTAGTTGGGGGGGGGTAGCTGAAGCGATGTTCAGCAGCCCCCCCCCCCCCCCCCCCAGTATTCACACAGCTGAAGCAACCGACCATGCTTCCCGGAGTTGGAGAGGAGGGCGTCCAAGCCCTTCCCACTGCACATCCCGGCATTAGGGGACCCCAAAGGTCATGAAGCCTTCCGAAGGCCCTGGAGGGCGCGGTCACTGGGCGAGAGCGACCCCTGCCGGACGACCGGGGCGACGGCGAGGTCTGGGTTCGGGTTTTCCCCGGCAGCTCGTCTCTTCATCTCTGCGCCTTTACCCGAGATATCTCTGTCTGTCTGTCTGTCTGTCTGTCTGTCTCTGTTCGTCGGCATGTTTGTGTTGCCGTGTCTCTGAGTCCGTTGCTCGTACTTCTCTCTGCCATGGCCCTGACTCCGCTCCAGTCCACCCTTCTCACGTCGGCGGCTGCGGGAGCTCTCCGTGGTGCTGGCCGCTTGCGCTCCTGTCCGCGGTGCTGAAATCCAAGCGCAGCATGGGGTCTGAGGTCAGGGGAGGGGAAGGGGTGCGGAAGGTCTGGTGGGAGGCATAGCCTGGAGTCCGGACAGATCTGACCCACAACCACCCTGGACCACCTCAAGACGGACCAGGGGAAGGCTAGGTCAGCTGGTCTTGGTTACTGAGACCTCCAGGACGTCACTGGGTGCCCGGAGAGAGACCCAGAGACAGAATCTAAGGATTATTCACTTACTCATCGCTTATTGAGCACCTGCTGTGTGCAAGATCATGTTTTGGGCTCTGGAAGTAAAACAGTCAAAGAGGAAGATCCCTGCCTTATCCTGAGATGGGAGGAAGACAGATTTGTGATGTTGGTCGTTGCTCACAAAAACACATATGCACATGCTACAAGCACAGGCACACACACTCTGCAAATATACACACAAACATGAACGTACAAATACATACTCAGCAAACACAGACTCACACACAAACACACACAAGTACATATGCATGCACTACAAACATACACTCAGCAATACAGACACACATAAACATACTCTGCAAACACACGCCTACAAATACTTCCTCAGCAAACACAGACTCACATACAAACATATATAAACACATATAACCCAAAGCTCACAGTCTGCAAACATACAAACACATACTGAGGAAATACAGATATTACACACTCATGAAAAAATCAAACACACATAAACAACACATACACTCAGCAAACACAAGTATACCCACGTATTTTCAAAACCAAGGGATGCTCAGAAATTCTCACCCAACACGCGAACACATTATCCTCCCAACACAAGGCATGGACACACACACATCCACTACAGGGCTGTTTTTCTCATCTGACTGCCACAATAGAATGTCAGCTCTAAGGCCGGCCCATGGCTTACTCGGTAGAGTGCGGTGCTGATAACACCAAGGCCACGGGTTCGGATCCTATATAGGGATGGCCGGTTTGCTCACTGGCTGAACGTGGTGCTGACAACACCAAGCCAAGGGTTGAGATCCCCTTACCGGTCATCTTTATAAAAAAAAAAAAAAAAAAAAAAGAATGTCAGCTCTATAAAAGTTGAAATTTTCATGACTCATTCACTACTGCATCTGCAGAACTCAGCACACAGTAGGTGCTCAATAAATGCTTGTTGAATGTGGGTGAATTGAGGGAATATTCACAAGGGACACACACTTACAGAAACTGCAGGACACAGAAGCACACACACACATTTCAGATGCAGACACACACTCTGTTCAGCACATGACAATGTCCCTTGTTCACTCATGGTCAACATTCATGGACAACTTCCTTTATTCACTGACTTACCCACAGCATTTTCGCATACACC